ATTTGTCCGTCCGTCCGTTTGTCCGTTTGCTAAATGTCCGTTTGATTCGGACAAACGGACGGACGGACGGACGGACAAAAACGGAGGAGAAAAGTCACCTACCCTTGTGTACAATAAAATTCAAGCATTTGTGAATGGCAAAATCATCCATAACCAGCATGATTTTGTGAAAAATCGGTCAACCTCAACGAATTTGCTGCAAATGGTGAACTACACCATGGATTCAATGATAACGAAATGTAAAACTGATGTAATGTACACTGACTTCGAAAAGGCATTCGATCGAGTCAATCACAAGAGACTTCTGCAAAAGCTGGTGAGCTTCGGATTTGGGCGCGGGCTTGTCAAATGGTTCCATGCGTATTTGACATCACGCACGCAGTTTGTTGGAATTGGCAACAGAAAGTCACGGACTTTCACCGTCGTAGGTGATATTTTTAAAAAATGCAAGAAAATAATCAATTCTTTGTATTTATAACAAGCGCATGCTTTATTTGATATGAAAAAAAAGTACAAAATATTCCCAAGATTTCGTATTCCATGACTTGAATGTCAATGACAAAAAAGTCTTTTACAAAACTATAAATCGTGACTTACTTTCGGCTTCCGTACAAAATGACTTTGACTGATATTAATTCCATTAAAATGCAAAGAAATGAATTGATTATTTTTTGACAACATAATGATTGGGAATGGCTTTGATGCGTACAAAATTATCGGTATGATACAATGCTTGTCGGCGACTTTGCAGGCTTTTCAGCTTACTCTTTTGGATACGATAATCCCGAACGAAGAATCCAATTAAAGTTGACAGCATAATGGCCAGGATGACAATAACGACGATGCCAATTGTTAGAAAATCATTATAGGGTAATCCAAGAACTTTCTGTTCGCTTTTGTTTTTCTGCACAACTGTCTGTCTGTCATGTGTATAAGTTGTTGCTTTGATTTCGGTGTGTGGTGAATATTTCGAAGGTGGTTGTAAATGTGTAGGCATTTGGTCTGAATAATCTTCACTTAAACGATGTCTCATTGAAACATCTCCATTTGACATCGAAAAATAATCAAATGACCGTTTACAAACGATATTACGTGTATTGTCAACACTTAAATGCACGATAATTGGTTGTGAACTTGAATGCCGCTCTTTGATACTACACACATACATCATTTCTCGAATTTTAAATTTTACATCGTAAAACATTGGATAAGAAATAGATCGAAGCTCATTGTTGCCAATCAAAAATAAATCACTTAGGTATGGTAACTTCTTTGGGTTGATTTCCACACTTGAAATATGGTTATGCGATAGATTGATCGTTGTCAATGCAATGGTTCCTTGGTAATCAATAAACACTTTCTCACGTCCAATGTTGTTAAATGATAAATTGAGTTCGGTTAGATGTTGCATATTTCGGATGAAATCTCTTGGAATTCGGGTTAGTCGGTTATTCAATAAATTCAATTTCTTCAATTTCGCCAGATTTTTGAGCCGTGCCAAAACTGACTCATCCAAAATACTTGATGAAATATCGAGCTCATGCACATTTTCAAAAGAGTTGATAAATTGAACCAAGTCCACGATTTTGCATTTATCAATGCGGAGTATTTCCACGACCTTCTTCTTTCCTTCCAACAAGGCTTCGCATTCACTGATTTCAGGCACAATTCCGTCACAGTTTATTTCAACGGTTTTTGTACTGTTATCGTAACAATTCGTTCTAACAGGTATTGCCCTTGCGCTCATCACCAAAATTACAAACAAAATCAAAACGATCGTACGTTTCATTTTGCACCAGACAAAAAATTATGCGAAAATATTCGAGGTTTTGAAGTTAATGCGTAACAATCACTTTCAGTGTATTTTTAAGACTGTGTGCTCAAAAGGCCTGCTTTTGGAAATAAACCAACAGTCCGAAACAAATTATCACAGGATGTCAACGGGTGACCATGACATAATCATGTACTATGCAAATGACTCATACTGCTTAATTTAGTTTATTTTATCAAATTCATTCCATTGCATTGGATTTCTTATTACATTAGCCCTTCCATTGCTCGAGAATTTTCTTCTCTCAGTGTTTCTTTTCACTGCGCATAAAATATGATTCGTTTGATATGCATTATCAGTTTGAATATCCAGGAATAAACTCGTTGAAAAAACTATTTTTTTGCTTAACAATCAGTTTTTTTTCGTCTTAAAATTCAACCATAAACTACATGTTACTCAATCCAATTTGAGTTTTAAAAAAGGCGTTGATTTTTTTTTCTTCATCGAATTTTCTTTCTTTTTTCTGCTTCTTCTTCATTCGAATCAAGAACTTTGATCCATTTGAAATGGATTCATTTTAACGGAATGCGAACGAAAATTCTCAACCTGCTTGTCGACTTAATCGAATCTCCATTTATATTATATTTAGCTTGTGATAGTGCAATGATTAAGGCAAAACTGGAAAATTTTGAGACGAATACTAAAATAAGTTTACATTCCTTGTGTTTATTATACACTGCATAATCATCTGGAATTCCCGAAAACGTAATATTTCGTCATTATACACTCCCATCTGGAATTTTATAAATTCAGTCGTTTTCAAAATCCGATTTCCTTGATGCAATTTTTCAAACAAGTTCAAACCCCGATATTCCAATTCCACATTTCATCTCCTTCTGAAAATTTTCGTGCGTATATCCAAGCGAGTCAATACAATAAACAACTGTGCAGGTCTTTCATATGAGTTTGTGTGAGAGCTCAGAAAATCAAGAGAGACTGGCAAGAGAGAATGGAAGACAAGTGAAAACACAACGAGTATGAACACAACTGAACTGAACAATAGTTTCATTTATTAACCGACTTAAATACTATTACATGAGGAAGAAAAATAGTAATGTCAGACAAACAGGACTTAATACGGAAATGCTTATGCTATGTTGACAAAGAAGAAACATTGGATTCGCTACTAACAACAGTTTGATAAGCTCTATTAATCTGTAGCAGTCGTGATTCATGTTTACCTTTTAATTTGAGGAAGAATGTATTCATCGCCTTTTTCATTTTTGGATGCATAAAAACAAATTTCAATTCTGATTTAAAACCGTGAAACGTCCATTCACTATATTGCATTTTCCATTTGTGAAAATTGTTTCATTGGTCTGGGTTATTATTTACGGTTAAACAAATATTTCGTCGCTGAAAAATTTTAAATTGAAAAAAAAATTACAAATCTTCTCTGAAAATTTCGAAAAAGTTTTTTTTTCGTCTTAAAAAATCCGTTGCATCTAAATTTGTTTCCTCCAAATAGACTGTATACGAAATTAATGTTTATCACATCGCGGCTCTTTATTGACTACAAAGGAGTCATGTTCAGTGAAATAAAAAATAAAAGTCTTTGGTTTTAACTAAATTCGTTTACTTTTTAATTTCAAAAAACGTTATCGAATGCATTTCGAGACGTGTGACGTCACATCATCAGCAAGGCGATTAAATGACTAAATAAAATCAATACAAAACATTATTTCGTTTACATGTAAGAGTATTGGTGAGGTGAGATAAACAGTTTACAATATTCATTTTGATGTGATGAGAAGAAAGTAAGAGAGAGATCGAAGTAAAAACAAAACAAAACAAATACAAAGAAATTAGCTATTTTGCGAATTTGAACAAGTGAGATTCAATGTTGCCGACGTCGTCTGCGTTCATGAGGTGTTGCTTATGTTTGTGTATGTATAACGACTCGTAGGCATCAATTTTTCTGAAGTCGGTGACATTCTTCTAGAGTGTGCAGCTCTCTTCGAAAGAGCCGATTTGATGCGGTGCGTCGAAATTGATATCGTAGACGTGTTTGGCTACTGAAGATTGCATGTGTTTGTGCTTAACGCAGTATTCGTGCCTGGTGCCTAGCGCTCTCGTTGTTTCTCCGATGTATTGTTTGTTGCATATTTTGCACGTAATACAATAAATGCCGGTCTTTTGTTTTATTGGTATCGCGTCTTTTGTAGTGCCGAGCAATTTTGACAGCTTGTTGTTATTGCTGTACACTAATCTCATTCCATCTTTTTCAAATGTGTGAACGAGTTTGTTGCTGATTTTCGGTACATAGTTGAACGCTACGTATGTTGTGTTTTCCTTGATCGAATTTCGGCTTTGGCTGAATAGCGTTGACATATTCGCTCGATGGATTTTGTCAGAATGTTTTTTGACTAATTTTTCGATCATTGATTTTTTGTAGCCGTTTGTTTCAGTTAATTTCAGTATGAAATTGTATTCTTTCTGGAAATTGCTTAACGATAACGGTAACACACACATACGATGAATCATCGAATGGAAGGCGGCAAGTTTGTGTTGTTGAGAGCAGTGAGAATCAGCTGTTATGTATCGGTCGGTTGATGTTGGTTTGCGATATACAGCGAATTCAAGTTTGTTCTCAAGTGTGCGTGTGATGGTTAAATCCAGAAAATTCAGTGAACGGTTGTCTGGATTTTCTTCTTCTTTGGTGAATTTGACCGTTTCAAATTGTGAGTTGATTGAATGAAGCAAATTTTGAATTTCGGATTTTTTGATGACAGCAAACACATCGTCGACGTATCTCAACCAAACTTTCGGCAGAATGCCTAATGATTTGATTTTTGACTCGAAGTGAGACATGAATGCTTCCGCAATTAATGGTGAAAGTGGGTTGCCCATTGATGTGCCTTGTTTGCTGTGATAAAATTCGTTGCGAAACTGAAAGCAATTGTATGCCATACATGTTGTTGCTGTGTCGATGTAAACGTCCAGCTTGTCTTGCGTGACGTTTTTTCGCTGTAGGTGGTTTTTTAGCGATTCGATTGCAATGTCCACGGGCACACTTGGAAAGAGAGCTGTGACGTCGAATGAAACTAAAATTTCGTCTTCTTGTAAATCGATGTTTTTGATTCTGTTTACAAATTCAGTGGAGTTCTCAACTGAATTGCTCTCGAATTTCCCGTATTGCTTCAGTTCCTTCACCAACCATCGTGCAATTTTAACAAACGGTGATTTTATGCTCGATACGATTTTTCTCATTTTTTCTCCTGGTTTGTGTTGTTTGCAGAGTCCGTACATCATAGGTACTTCTTCGTTCGGTACTTTCAAAATGTAGTAAGGAACTTGGAATACTTTCATGATTGAGTCTCTGAGTTTTTTTGGCATCTTTGCACATTCGCGATAGTGGAGAAAATCTGGTTTTGATGAAATTCTCTTCAGCTATCGATTCAATCATCCGTCGATCATAATCTTCCTTCTTCAGTATTACGATTTTGTTTCCTTTGTCCGATTTGGTGTAGAACACATTTCTTTTCCGCAGACTGTTCAAAGCGTTGTTCCATTTGTTGTTGTTGTTCGTTGTGTTGATGGATTTTAACACCTCGTCGGCTTTTTTCCTAATTCGCGCTTTGACGCCAAACGGTTTGTAGTGAATGGCTGACTCAATATCGACGATAGCATCATTGATTTGAATTTCATCTGGCGCTACTGAGAAATTCAGTCCTCTGTTGAGTAACTCAAGTTCTTCTTCGGAAAATTGCTCATCGGACAGATTGTCAACCAAATCGTTAACGGTTTTTACACAAGTTGTTTCGTTGTCGCGTACAGTGTTTAAGCAAAGTTTCTCAAGTTTTTTGGTTTGTGTTTTTACGAAATTAATGGTCAGTAGCATAGACTCAGTGCACTAAAAACTAAAATATCTCTATTTTCCCGCATTCATTTCGGATTATTATCAGATACCATTCCAGGGACCATCAAGCGCACCCCTCCACAAGCACAAGCACAAGCACACACACACACAAACATAACGAATCAAAAACTAAGCCATTTTCAAATGAATCAATGTGAATTTTCACATATTAGGACATTTCAACACCTGATTCCATCACGCTCACCCAGTATTCATCGTCCTCGATATTTGTAAATGAAATGTTAGGCATTTTATGGATTATATCAAGAATGATTATTGCTACCAATAATTATTACAACAATAGTCAACAACCAAAGCCTGAATTATTAACGAAAACAAGCAATATTTTATTCAACCCCAACCCTGACGTATTTAATGTGTGTAAATATCTGTACAATTATGATTATCAAATCAGATGAACGAAACCAACAGAAAAAAGCCGGAAAAATGGACGAACAAGGCGATCAAATTGAAGTGCATTAATCTCATTTGTATATGTAATCTCTCCACAATTTAGACACATTCATAGAGTTTTTGACGGAATAAGAGAAGAACGGCATCGTAGGTCGGTTTGTCTTGAACATAGAAGAGACATGGATATAGTCCGACAAAAATGAAATGGTTTTTCATTCTTTTATATGTTAAATGTGTCTTATCCCGTGTGAAAAAATAGTAACTGAGCAGTCAGTTAACTAATTTGGGACAAAAATGACTTACTTTGATTGACATTTCAGTACAAAGTATAGTGTAAGTCTATCATAGTTAACTGAAATCATTTGAAGTTACAAGTCAATCTAAGTTGCTTCATTTGGGACCAAGTGATTTTCTTAGAACAAAAATATAAATTCAATCAACTAAAGTCAACTGAAGTTATAGTCAGTCAGTCATTTCTTTTTCACACGGGATGTCTTAATATTCAATCCAAAAAACAGTGTAATTCAATTGAATTCAATGAACTAATAAACCAACAATAATCAAAATAGGACTAATTCGATAGGTGTTTTGAGTGGAATGTTTTTCCATTAAAAACAAAAATGAATTCATTTTTCTGGATATGTCTAAAGGTGAGTATAAGAAGGAGAGACGTTCAGTTTTTCATTTTTATTCCAGTTTATTATCATATCTTTTATATTGAGAGAAACCTGACTGCCAGCGACATCTATGTGCCTTTCAGGCGCAATGTATTGGTATATGTTTGACAGATTAGTCAAGAACCATTTCTAGCAAAGTTACAAACAAAAATCAGTTTGATATTTGGGGTATGTTTATTATTTACGGTTTTTATTATAGCAAGAACAATAGCTTTTTACTTGTATGATTTAAACTTTCAACTCTGAACTGGCAATTGATCAGAATTGACTCATTAATATTAATTAGAGTTGTATCATTTCCTTATTGTGATTGAGGTGTATTTTAAATGAAAAGCATTTCACACCAATTTCACAACAGAATAGCTTATCTTCTGTGAGTTCGCATATGTGTTTTAAAGTGACCTAATTGAGTGAATTTTTTTGGGCACTCTTCGCACTGATATGGTTTTTCTCCGGTGTGAATTTGGATATGCCTTTCCAGTTTTGAATGTGAGGCTGCAACGAATTCACAATATACACACTTGAGTCCATTCGTACTCTCCAATGGACCGGTTGCTGCAGAACGTGGTATTGTCTGCATGGATGTAGCAACATTCTCTTCAATAACATTGTCAGTAACGGCTACCTGCTCGATGTCACTCCCATTGTACTGTTCTTCATCGAACACATGACTCACAGTTCTTATATCACTTTCGACTGCATTTTGCTCTGGAACAAATACCATATTTCCTTCGTCACAGTAGTCATCAATATTCACATCAAAGACTAGTGGATTTTTCGTAGTTTCAACTGAAAAGCAGCTTTGGTAAACACATTGATCCAACATGTCTTGACATTCATGTTCACCACTCGCCCAATAAACGTCAGTTGAAGATTTAGTTTGGTCATCAACAGTTAGAAAAACGTCATTCGCCACATTTGCCACCTCCGGCATTAGATTCCTTTCGAATTTGTCATACGCTTCTGCCAATCTGTAAGAAGAAGATGAACCAAAATATAATTAATACGGTGAAATTAACAAAGTTTAAATTGTTTTTTAAAATTGATTATATTGGGAAAGATGCAATTAACTTTGAATTCGTTTTCATTATGATCAACACATTTTACACTTACCGACTGAGACACACAACAAAGAAATTCTCCTTGAAATCCGGAACGAGTGAAGCACTATTGATATTAAATGACATTTTCATCACTTCTAACAAAGCCATGGCTTGACTTTCGAAGCCACAAAACACTCGATTCATTTCATCGTCAAAGTTAACTACAGCCATTATGCACAGAATAACGATTGATTTAATGTCACAAAAGGAATGAATAAATTTTGATGCTTCACATACTTTTATAGTCGATTTTGCGAACCGTGTAAAAAATAGCCTTTCGCCAACAGAGCATATAAAATGTCTATGCATTATTTATGTACTTGAAGAAGCAACAAGAATTCTTAAGAATCCTCTTAAGAGAGGTAGGTAAAAGGAGAATGAGAACAGAGACGAAGGCGCGCACACTCAGCCTCAATAACCGCCGTGGCGCTCATGTTCGATGCCATGCTTATTAAGCTGTGTTATGTGTCAGTTCGTTTTTGGGGTTGTTTAGGGTATTGTCTGGGTGTCGGTAATCGGGAAATTGCCGAAAGGTCAGGATTAATTTTCGCTTTTATCGCTATTCAGGTAGAAGATAATCAGTTTTCAAAATGGTTTCAGTCGCTCAAACAGAATTTTCCTACACTGAACCACATCGAAGTCAAAACATGGAAGTCAATACAGAGCAATGACATGATCGAAAGGGCATCATTGCACATACACAGAATGCACGTACTTTATTCTGTTCATTTTCAAATTGTCGTGGCATTATGAGTTGGATGATTGTCTGATAACTTTTGATCTGACATTTAATGACCAAAATTAGATGAGCTCAACTCGAATAATTGAAGAATCTCTTTTAATGTGTTAATGGATATTAATCCTTTCTTCGATCCTAAGTCTTCGGACTTTTTTAAGTATGCAAATAAAACTGAATAATCTGAACAATAAACTGGGGTTTTGATGGAGCAAAAGGCACGCACAGTACATAAGAGCTAATGCAAAAGTCAATTGATGTGCATAAGTAGCGCCACCTCTAATGATTACGGAGAGTTATCATAAGTCGTATGCAATTGATGTTGAGAAAAAGCAGAAGAAGAAACAGACATTCTATTCATTTACATTGCAATAATGGCAATCAGTAGAGATGGTGCTCATGTGCCGATCATATCACTGTGACAACCCTTCGGGATGGAGTATTTTAGTCTTTCCAGTGAAATAACATTAAAGAATTAGTAAGTGCTAACGAAAAGCAATGAAATCAAAAAAAAAAAAATTAGAAACAAAAAACAAAATTGGACATTCTAAAAAACACAAATTGGGATTAAAAAATTTGACTCATGAAAAAAACCAAACAAAACATTGAAGCTGTTCAAAGTATATATTTTGCTAAGATGAATATCAAACGGAATTCATCACAGCTACACTTTCAGCGACATGAACGGCAACATATTTGCATTTGTATTGTCTCAATACGATTGAGTTCATCACAGCTCTGCCACTCATACGTGTTCGTATGAGAAACGTCATTCTCGCACAAACACAAGTTGATAACAATAGCGTCCATTTGGAAATCTGAATGTGTTTGACTCTTTTTGTCTTGTTACATGAATACAGTTGAAATTGTCAACATTTCATTCTCTTTCCAACTTTTTGTCAACGCACGATTTCATCGCATTTAATTTTATTCTTTATTAAAGAAACGAAAGTCATGGCAAAAGAAATACCCTTAAATCATTTTTCTTTCATTCACACACACACACCACTATTGGTTTCCTTTGTGTCTTATGAATTTTAATATGTGTAAAGAAGAACAAAGCATGTTCAGCTATCGCAATGCACAAACTGCTAACGCAATGCAGCTATCGCAATGCTAAACTGAGTCTAAACTACAATACACAATACACTAACACTGTAAGTCTTACAATCTTACACCCACAGTACATCACTTTGTAAAACTAAACTAACTACATCTGAAAATGTTTACATCGAAAAAATTCATGCTTATCTCAATAGCAAAGGCCATAAAATAATGATGCTCCGACAAAATACAAATCAGTAACCGATAGAATACGATGAAGATCACTTTAGTTGCTTGTGTGTTGCTTTCCGTGGGCATTTTCTGCCATTTGGTTGCTGGTGATTTCGGGTCAGCCGGACCGATTCAAATTGTGACGCCCGTGAATCATTCGTTTGCGTTGGAATTATACGAATTAAAATACATTTTAGAGGCTGATGACATCAAAGATCGTGATGTCGTTGAGGTTTCGATTGCTGGTGCCTATCGCAAAGGAAAAAGCTTCATGCTGAATTTCTTTTTGAAATATTTATATGCGCAGGAGAGTTTATTCCTGATTTTAATCATTTATCAGTCGAAGTTGTCATTTTCTAGTCTTTAGCATTTACTTTTTATGAGTCAATGACCATTGCCTATGGTCCATTGATCAATCATAAATTGGAAGAAAAAAAATTGATGAACAAAAATGATTGAATTTCAACAGTACCAAACGCACAATATCTCAAACTGGATCGGAGAGGATGAAAACAGCGGACAATTGCTCGGGTTTAAATGGCGAGGTGGTCGAAAGCGAGAAACCACTGGAATTTTAATGTGGTCTGAAATCTTTACTCATGATTACGAAAATGGTGACAAAGTGGCAATCATTCTGCTTGACACCCAAGGATTTTTCGATGGTCGAACGAGTATACGGGATTGTTCGACAATTTTTGCTTTGAGCACCATGTTATCATCGGTTCAGTGTTACAATTTAATGCACAACATTCAAGAAGATAACTTGCAACACCTGCAATTGTTCACTGAATATGGTCGATTGGCTCTTGAACAAACCAATGAAAAACCATTTCAATATTTGCTGTTCCTTGTGCGCGACTGGCAATATGCCTATGAAATTGATTACGGTTGGTACGGACCCGAAGTGATTGATGATCTTCTAGTGAATATCGATGAGCAAACGGCTGAAATGCGTGAATTGAGGCATCGCATCAATTCGAGTTTTGAAGATATTGGCGCATTTTTAATGCCACACCCCGGATTGATTGTGGCACAAGGAGAACACTTCACCGGTGATTTGAAACAAATCGAACCGAATTTTATGAAATACACCAAATTGTTGACGCCGCTTCTTTTTGCACCGGAAAATCTCATTGTGAAGAAAATCAACGGGGAAAATGTTCGGGCTCGTGATTTGGTGCAATATTTACAAGCGTATTTGAACATTTTCAATGATAAATCGCTGCCGGAACCAAAAACGGTTTTATTGGTACGTAAACGTCGTCTACTAAACGAAGTAAATTTAACCGAGGCCATTTGGAAGGGATGTGGTTGTTTTGATAAAAACAGATTTATTCAGAGGAAATTGTGTTTGAAATACGTGATAATGAAGCATAATTTCTTACTAAATTGTTTAAACTTGTCACTCATTTTTAAATAGGCAACCGCTGAAGCTAACAATGTGATACTGCAGAATGATTGTGTGAATTTGTATGTTGACTTAATGCAAAAATCTCTTGATACAACCCAATCATTTTTCACCGAACTTGAACTCAACGATCTTCATCAGAATGCCAAATATAAAGCTATGAAACAGGTTGGATATTGAAAGAGAATATTTCCGTTCATGCTTGATTTTTGTTCATTTTTTAAATCTAATGATTCAAAAGTGAATGATTTTTTGTTGGTTGAAAAGTGAATGTAATTAGAATCTGCCTCCTTTTCACACGAAATCAAAGCTCGGTGGAAATGATCTTATATCATCTTTCCATAGCCGTCTTGAAGATGTTATAGAAGAAAAATTCGCTGTATTTAAACGTGCCCACGAGGAGAAGCACCGGAATTTCATTGTGAGTATTAGTTTTCTTTCCAAAATCGCATTTTTCTCTTACTGTTTTGAAGTGCAGATATGATTTTGCTTCAATTTTGGATTCGTCAAATTTCGTCCGTCTGCCAATAACTGCTTCCATATTTTATTTTGTAGGAAAAAGCGAAGCTCACGAATGAAAATGTTGTGAATGTGGCAACCGAAATGGCAAAGGGAAAAATGATCAGCAAAGTGAATGCAAAGCCGAATTTAAGCGACTCCGACTTGATCACTTCATTTGCAATTGTAAAAAAGGCTTCTTTCGACTGGGTATGTGTGTTTGAAAATTTGGTCAAGAGTATTCTTCCAATTTCTTCATTTTGATCTTTAACGTGTTTTTGAAATATTTCAAAAAAATTTCTAGTTCGACAAAGAAAAAATGGGTGACGATGGAATATCAAGTGGTACTCGCCGGAAACTTGAACGGAATTTAGATGATTTGCAGTCATTACTGAACAAAATGTTGACATTCAACGATGAGTCTTTGAATTTCTACATGAGTTCCATGCAAACATCCATCGATCAAGTCAAAATCTACTTCAATGAAACGGAACTCATGCAACTGCATCAAAAGACGAAAAATGCATCTGTGGCACAGGTTTGTATTTGAAAATAGGAAAGTCAGAATAGTTCTTGCATTGAGCATTGAGTACGCTGGCTATCCATTCGATGCTATTCAACAATGTTGTTCAACAGCCGCTGTCAATATATTTGGTGTAAAGAAGAAATATGGGACATTTTGTTAATGGTTAATACCAAATGCATTGACAGCGGCTGCTGAAGAGCACCGTTGAATTGCAGCGGCTGGACAGCCAGAGTATTCAAAACTCTGAGTTCTTAGTACAAACATCTGAATTTGTATTTATTGCATGCAAAAGAGTTGATTCAAGGAGAAAGATTGAAAAATTTCATGATTTCAAGAACTCATAAATGCACAGTTCGTTTCTTGCCGGTTTTACTGATAAAAAGTAACGACAAAATGAATGATTTGCAATGGAAATAGCATTTCGTATCTCACCTCCTTATCTTGCTTAGAGTATTTTTATAAATGAAAGCACGAGGCAAAATGCAAAGTGCCACATTTATTATAATTCATTCAAGCATGAAGTGAATATTCAAATGTATCGCATGTTTCGTTCTCGTTTAGTCTATTGAATCGTGTAAAAGGCGCATTTAGCTTGACCACATGATCGTTTTCGGTCCACTGAAGCAGATAAGAAACACACTTGCAACTGGTTGGAGCTTACAATGTAAACTTTTCATTAGGGTGGTCCAAACTGATTTATCATGGTAAGGTATATGCTCACAATAGCTGAAAATCTCTGGCTTAAAATAAATTAAATCTCTGGCTCTATTGACCACTAGATTTTAACATTTTTTTGATCTGAAAACAGGGAATCAGCTAGTTTTGAGCCCAATTTAATTTTAAGCTACTGGGAGCATATACCTTACCATGATAAATCAGTTAGGACCACCCTAATGAAAAGTTTACATTTTAAACTCCAACCACTTGAGAGTGTGTTTCTTATCTGCTCCAGTGGACCGAAAACTATCATGTGGTCAAGCTAAATGCGCCTTTTACACGATTCAACGCTTGTTTCCTTATCTCGCACATAGTCATTGGTGTGACTTGACACTTCGTATTTAAAGATTTAGAGAGAGAGAGAGAGAGAGAGAGAGAGAGAGAGAGAAAATATATCTTCATTGACATTCTTCATAAAAAATAAATCATTTTCAATCACTGTTGAACAGTTTCAAGAGAAATTCGGATCTGATGGTCTTGTCACATCGTTTCAACGCAGATATCGTTTGATTGTCGAAGAAAAGTTGCCATTATTCCAACGACAAAATGAACTGAAGCGCAAAACGTTCATTGTAAGTTTCTTTTCCTATTTTACACGCAAATTAAAAGTGTTTGCTTAGAGACAGAGTATCATTTTCAAAACAAAACCCATAAATTCAAGGAAAAAGCAAATGCGCACAATGAACAAATCAGCAGAGAAATCAAAGCGATCATTGAAGAGGGAGCCATGGCTGAAATTAGCCAAAAGCACTTAGACGAATATGAATTGAACGGTCTATTTCTTGGAATGAAGGATGTCGCTCTTGAAATGGTAAACAAACCTCCCAAGTTTTCTTTATTTTTTGCTGTATAAATTATTATTCCTCCTTCAAATTTTTTCGTTTCATCATAATTTCTTTCATTCCCTTTATTATTCAAATTTTTGTTCACATTGAATGATTTTTTCTTCGTTTTTAGTTCGATGCTCAGAAAATGTGTGACGGCAACATCTCCAAAAAGAATCGCGATAAGCTTGAAGAAGATTTGATTAAATTCCGATCAACACTCACTGAACACAACAAAAAATCGCGTTTCAATTATCGATATTGGTGAAATTGATCCAATCTTTGTCCTCTTTACTTGCTTTCTGCAATCAATTTTCAAATTTGATTTTTAAAAAACAAGATTTTTGTATAAACAAGAGTACTTCAAGACAGTGAGTTATTCTGGTGAAAAACTACCGGTTTCTATCACATAACGTGAAATATAGATATCACAAGGAAATAAAGAATGGATTTGAAAAATAAAATTGATCTATTTTTATTGGAATTCAAATTTAAATTACATTATTTAGTGTCCGTCAAACAAAATCAAGGCTTGAATAATCTAGGATGATTCCAGCTCGAATGTGCTTGTCTTCTAATTTTTGAGAATAAGATGCATTACAAATAAATTGTGCGTACTCCAATTTTTTTTAAATTTCTGATGACTTTTGCTATATATGGTGGTTAATTTATTTTCAAGTGTCAAATAAATGGTTTTTTGTGGCGTTCATTTCTGGTAGGTATTCATTTTGAGTCCTTTTTTTCAACCAAATTTAAACATTTTCACAGATTCCTAAAAACTCACACAGCTCCTCTTCAGTACAGATTTCAAAGTAATTACACCAGTCTTCGAGATCATCTCCGTCGTCATCTGTAAATCGAATGGGATATATGATTATTTTCCAATTTTTCGAATATTTGGTATTTGATATAATTCAAATACAGTTTATCCGACAAAAATAACCTACCGTCGTCATCATCATCATCGTCACCATCCTCGTCTCCGTCGTCGTCTCCATCATCGTCTCCATCATCGTCTCCGTCATCGTCGCCATCATCGTCTCCGTCATCATCACCGTCATCATCACCGTCATCCTTTTTGTTCTTGAGCATTTTCAATGCATTTTCAATCTTCTTCAATATAATCGATTTGCGATCAAAACTTGGAGTACCATCGCTAAGAAGTGTGCTTGATTCTAGATCAGCGAGTTCGTGATTCCCTTTATCGTCGGTGTCAAGTTCCTTAGCTTGTTCATCACTTTCTAACTGTGGCACAGAGACTTCCTTTGATCGCAGCAGAAGTGTTATGAATTTTGCTGCTAGCGATGGGCTAAATCAAACGATAAATGAAATTTCAAAATATTATCAAGGCACTCAAAATGTTCGCAGCTATTTCAGCCGTTAATTTTAAGCCAAGATTACCTAATATGATGCGTTGAATGACTACGTGGTTGAACGGTTGTATGATGATGACTCAAACTGTGGCTCTTACCACGGTGGCCTGGAGCTAAATTTTAAACGGTTATTTTTTTGGTTAATCTAAAATCAAGCTGATTCATTTATTGAAAAGTACTAACCTGCTAAGGTACACGCCAATACAGCAAGCAGAAGAACTACGAAACAAACTTTCATTTTATTTTAAAAGGGCTTTATTTTTTTTTATCCAAAGATTCAAATCAATTGAATAATTCAGATTTGATACTTTTTGATTACGGTTCAAAGGCTTTATATACCGCAAAAGCTGCATTCCATTTACCACTTCTACTAATAATTTTTAGTCCGATAGCAAGATAAAGTAGAACAAAATTGCAGAAAAATGTGCAGAAACTTGAAGTTTATCTTAATTTCATATGACTAACTATTTTGATATAATGACTTGGATTGGGATTTTCCAGCATTGCAACATTCAAGGGCAAGGCTTAACTCATTATTTATAGTGAACACATGATGAACAACCAACGCGACCGTTGACTTTCTAAGAAATAAAATGATAAAAACAACGCAATGAGTGAAACGATTCTATATTTGAACATTTCTTCCATCAAAATATGAACTGCTGACAATATTCATTGGACGTGTGTCGATGCGTTGTTAAATGTCTAAATCTTAGAAAAGTTGTACGCAAATTTTGCGTCGCAAAAGTGGTGCATCAGAATTCAAACATCATCGGTACATTAGAATATTTTTTCTGGGTTATTAAGCCGTGATTGTCCCACTTTTTTATATAACTCTTTCCAAGTTCCACATTTAACTAAGCATCAAAACGTGTCCAACGAATATTCTCAGCAGTTCATATATGTACGTAGTTAACTCTAGATTTTTTTATTTCAACAAAACTGCTTTGACTCAATCAATTTAAATTACTCAACTAAAATTCCATTTGAATGAAAGTTTCATTCAATGAAACGCAAATTCGAAATTAACTTTATTAAAAAATTGAATGATTTATTCGTTAGCTATGCGACAATTCAATTCAATTTATCAATCTTTTTCTTCATTGATTCAGATCCGTTTTTCTATCGAAATCCATCCAAAATTGTAACAATATCTCAAAATGGGTCGTAGATTTGGTCAATTATTCTTGGTTGATAATAAAAAAAAATTCATAAAGAAACTTTTTCATCTTATGATTAGTGGAACTTTCAGGTTTAAAATTTAAACCAATTTTTGATCCAAGTCAAATTGAAACTTTGGTCTTTCATCTCTTCCCAATAGTCTTCCCAATAGTCTTGAATAGAATATAGTATTTTCATCGGTGCCATTCAAAACGAACACCGATTTATGTTCCAACAATTGGTTTGGATTATTTTCCCAAGATTGCATCAGATCATGCCGCGACCATATATCAAAGTCCCACATTTCGATAATTATTCTTGCGGTTTTACTGATTTTGAACGTTGTGGCTGTGTCATTCAATATTCACATATTTACTATTCCATCGCACTTTATTCCTGAAGATTTCTTCGCATTCAACAAACACTTTTATGTATAAATCGCAACTACTCCAAAAATCGCATGAATTTCCATTCACAAGATTTGCAGCAATGGCACCTTTAAAGGACAATGTTAAAAACCCATATCTGGTTACTGACCATACCAATTTTTCAATCATTAAAGATTCCAATTCGGTTTCCAAACGCTTGCGAGACTTCCAATAGAATTCGTCCACATCCAATTTTCTTTGGGCAAACTGTCAGGAAAACATTTTATTTTTACACTTTTTGATGAGTGAAGTTGGAAAACATGAATAGATTTGACTTGATTTTGAACACAGTTTTGATTGAACGTTGAATTATTGATATTGCATTTGAGAGCTTCTATTGAATGATCGATTGTTCAAATATTTCTTATGACATATTTCAAAGCTTTGTTGTTAAAAGGGTTGAAACCGCTAAATTTTCCACAAAAAAATGTTTCAAAAACAATGATCGAAATTCGACAATTATTTGTTTCAAATCTATCGAACCATTCCTGAACGATGAATAGAAACATTTGCAATGGGACTTGATTTGAGACGTTAAAGGCTAGTTTCTCGAGCAATTCAAAATGACGAAAATCACTTTCTTTAATATTCTTAGTAGTTGTGTAGCACTGCACTGACGAAAGCATCATGCTAATGGCGAAAAGTGACTTAAAATTCGTTGAATTATTTCCATCGCCGCGAGTTTTCAATAGAATGATTGCTAATTTTTCGCCACTTTCTTGGTCATTTACGAAAATTTCAGGCCACATCCACATTCCGTTCATCTCAAACTCGTGCTCATTTTGCCACTTAAAATCATTATCACACACCGTGGCAGCAAAGACCAATATACCACAGGCGACACCTTGTTGCCCAATACAGTAATGTGTTGAAATTAACGTCAAGTGTATACAAACATATAGGGCATTACTATAGCGTGCAACAAGATGTCGCTAGTGGTGGTGTGCATTATCACTTCCCTTGAACCAGTTCGATATATTCTGCCTTTTGTACTGTTGAATTTAAATGCAAAACAGTCGATTCAATTGATTTGGCTGATCCATTCTCGAATTTGATATGAACTTCTGCACAAATCTAAACCTACCTCATTACCTGTGCATAAAGAAATCGTAGAAAAAAATTGAGTAAAAATTGTTCATCCTTTTGATTGGTGCTAGAAACTGAAATGACAGCAACGTACACACAGAAAAGAATCCCCGGAAATTTTGGGTGTTCGCCGTAAAATTTGACATTTATATATAAATTTCTACATACATTTTACCGGCAACACTTCAATTTTCCGGGCGATGACATATTTTCGAACATTTTATCAAATACTATGTATATTTTACCGCTTGAAATGACAGATGGCGCTAATTTCTGTTGGAATATTTGAAATTATGTCATCGCCCGGAAAATTCAAGTGTTGCCGGTAAAATGTATATAGAAATTTATATATAAATGTCAAATTTTACGGCGAACACCTAAAATTTCCGGGGATTCTTTTCTGTGTGTAGCGATCTTTTATGTCATCAGCTTCAAAAATCCGTTTTAATTCGCTCAATTCCAATTGAAGCGAGTGACTTGATTGCGTTACTATTTGTTTGGATTTTGTTATGTTTGTTGGATGCGATCTCTCTGCATGTCTCTTTTCTATTCCGAAATTAGTGTTTTGAGTGAAAACGCAAAAAAAGCTGACAAACAAAAGCAAAGTAGGAAATAAAGTTATCTTCATTGTGAACACTCGGATACTGCGTTTTATTTTACCTCTACTAGAGATAAGTATATCAATTTGTAGGATGAGTTGATTCATTCTTATCGTTAGGAATATTTAATCAAACAGGCCCGTCAAACGTTCGCTCGCATGTTGTTCATATGGATGCAGAAAGCAGCCAACGAAAATAAACTCACAAAATCTTAAAATACGAACAAAGTAAGAGCAAGACAGCAGGTCATTAGTTCATCGACAATATAAAATAAAGTGATTAAAAGGCAAATACTGTGTGAGACTTCACGTTGTTTTATTATGCAAAATAATGAACATTTCGTAAGGTACTCAGTATTATTTCGAAAAAAGAACGATATTCCAATTGAAAAAGTAATTTGTTTGGTCCAGATTTGGTATTTCAGCCTATTTGGTTGATATTCACTGAACATTGTTCAGCTCATGTGCTATTGAGCCATGTTTCAAACTAAAAACTTCAGATGACGGGTTGGTCTCTCCACGATGAGTCCAATACGATTTTATTCTCACCATAGCCATGCTTTGTTTTGGTTCGAAGCAATTCATTGATGTTGGTGTTCCAAAACTGTATCGAATCGTGACTTGACACACTATCATAGTCCCACATTTCAATGGTAATTTTCGCCCATTTTTCTCTGGTCGAACTAGGAAAAAAATGAGTTTGAAAAACAAATTCCAAGATTAATATTTTTTAAATGGAAAAAACTATGCTTTCAATTTTGTTAACAAGGACGGTTTAGAAAAAGAATCACCTCATCCAGAGCGTTCTGCTTTTCTGTTGCAAATAACGTGTTTAGCTCCGTGGTATCGATGTCTGATTCGTCATCGGTTTTCTCGAGCAATTTTCTTTCGAACCTCATTCGAATTTCCATACTGATTTTGTCGTTGATCAAATTGGCCTTTTCCTATGAAGAAAATAATAGTTTGAAAATTTTATCAAAATCTGGATTATTTGCCGTATACACTTATTTTTCTCTTTACAAAATAAAATTCGAATTATCAAACAAATTAACTCCTTTCTGCCAAGTTTTAAAAAAAAACACACGAACATTTTGCATGGAAAGTCCAATACTCAGTCAGTAGGTACGATATGAGTAATTTTGATTATTTTGCGTCCAATACTTACAATATAGTCGATACGTTTTCGTTCGTTTTCCTCTTTGAAAGACAGGAATTGTTCTTCGATTGCTGTTTCAGTTCGTTGTTGGAATACGGATATAAGCTCTTCACCACCCAATTTTCGAGCTTGCTGAAACTATTCAAATAGTGGATGTTTGAAATTTCATGAAAACTCTAGATCTAAAAGTATTGAAAAATCAAAATGAATCTTACTTTCGTCAAAGAACCGTCTTTTGCCATCCCGTGTGCGTCCAACAGATTTGATTGATTGAAATATGGTTTGACATTGTTGACTGCATTTTGCATTGAGTGCACATAAAGATTGAGGCAATCATTGAGCAATATCGTATTACTCGCCTTTGCCGTGGCCTGTTTTCGATAGAAATGTAAAAAAAAAGTTTTTTTTTAATGGTCGGTCCAAAGGCAAAAATTGTTTGTATCAAATTTTCTGATGTAAATTTTTTTTGTAAAAGCTTCAATCATTTCAAGTTTAAACTTCACCAATTTAAACCTCGTAGATAAAGTGACATACCTCAATGAGAGTTGATGTTGCAGGTAATGTGCCTCCCTTAAAAATATCGACGTATGCCTGTAGATATTGCAATAGATCACGCGCGCGTACCTTTTCACCGTTGATACTTTTGATAACAACATTTTCGGGATGAAAAAGTAATGGCACCAATACTTTGAGATATTGTTTGAATTCTGTGTCGATTTGCTGTAAATGGCCGGTGAAATTTTGCGATTTTGCAACAATCATTCCTGGATGTGGCATTAAAAAGGCGCCAATTTTCTTAAAACTGGCTTGGATTCTATTTCTCAACTGATGCGTTTCAGGCATTTCCTCTGCATTTTTAGCCATAAGTTCGTCAACGATTTGTTGATTCAAGCCATAGCTGTTTTCATATGGGAATGACCAGTCGCGAACAATGAATAGCAAATATTGGAACGGTTTCTCATTGGTTTGGTTCAGGGCTGCTCGAGCATAATCAGTGAATAGATCCAAATATTGTAAACTGTCTTCTTGAATTTGTTCTTTTATGTTGTAACATTGAACCGAGGAAAGCATCAAGCTCAAAGCAAAAATGGCAGAAGTGTCTTGCATGCTGCTTTTTTTCTCGAAACTTCCTTGCGTATCCAGCACAATGATAGCCACTTTTTCCCCGTTTTCGTAATCATGCGTGAAAATGTCGGACCACATCCAGATACCAGTCGTTTCAGGTTTCTTTCCAATTTTCCATTTGAAACCAACCAGCTCGTTGCTACTCTTATTCTCGCCCAGCCAATCGGTTACATCGTGTGTTTTGTACTGTTGATTCAGGAAAAAAACCCATGAAGAGTCAAAATCAAGATTAAAATTAAAATTTTTGCGATGAGTTTGCTATTCTAATGATCACTCTTCTCGCTCTGCACTGGTGCACAGCAGTATAAGCCCGGATTTACACCCGGTTTATCTCAGTTTACAATTTGGTTTTCTGAACCATTACTTTTTCAACACTAAATTGACTACTCTTTTTGTTCGTCATTCTTTTTCTTTGTTTGCTGTTCAACTACTTACCTGTGCGTACAAATATCGTATGAAAAAGTTAAGCAGAAAACTTTTCCCCTTTCGCATTGCACCAGCAATGGACACAACGACAACCTGACGGTCTCTGATGTCATCAGCTTCAAGAATTTCTTTTAAATCGTTCAATTCCAATTGAATTGAGTGATTTTCTGGCTTTATTATTTGAATAGCTCTGGCTGATTCGAAATTGCCAGCCGAAATATGGCAAAAAATGCCAACGGAAAGTGATATAAATGCCACTGAAGATTCAATCTTCATCGTGAATATCAATGAACTGAGGCTTCCTTACACAGTTGAGGCATATTTATATCGTTTGAGTTTCTTGTCATTTATTTCTTGTTTCTTTGCTATTTTCTCTCTTCTTTCCATGCTATCAATGCCTTTATCAAAAGTTTAACATAGGTTGCGAAACATCAATCATGATTCATCCAATGAATCATTTTGTGATTACAAGAATGTTACAATGTTGATTGCGCTTAAACTAGGGGAAACGCGCTATATGGCAAGATTGGAAATTCGATTATTTTTGGAAAACTCTTTTTGGACTCAAATTACGATCAAAATAGTGATCGACTTAAACAATTTTTTTACTGCAATTGCAGTCGAATTCATAACTCATTTCATTCAATTAAGCCAATAAACCTTTATTATTTAACAAAAGGCGATTAAATCACTTTTGGTTGAAGGATACAATGAGTCGAGTTGACACTTATTATTCACAACATCAAAAAAAAATCTACTATTAATCAACCATAGTCGCGGTGTCAACCCATAGTCACAAGTAGCAAAATTTACGCTGTATTAAATCGCGTTCTAAGTCGAAGATAACGAAAAAAAAAAAACAACAGCCAATAAATTTTGTTGTTATTTTCCTGTCATTTTGCCGTATTCAGCATTAGTTTAACGTTATTTAATGATAATTAGAACCGTTTGTTAGTCAATCATGGACCATGATTCATGGTTAATATGATTGCAATCAGCCAGTCAATGATGAAATGTCATTTGATAAAAACAAGCTAATTCAGCATCAATTTGTTTTGTTATCACATGTTAAATGTATATTCCATCGATGAGTCAACTAGCAGAAGAACATTTTTTTCAAAACAGCTACATTTTCTGCCTTTTTTACTCACTCAATGCATTGTTTTGAGTTCACTGTGAAATTATTGTTCGGTGAATGTCAACTAATGCACTGCTTTGTAGTGGTTTTTCCAGGTAAAGAGGTATCGTTCTTGAACTTATGCTTTTCGAAGCATTCGAGATGTGTATGATTCGTCTACTCGACGCATTTATGGCTGCAATAACCAAAAAAACAGATTCGGATGCGATATGAATATCAAATAACTAAAATTTCTCTTTATTTGTGCTGGACTGACCAGCACATATTTATACATTTATTGATCAGTTGATTCCTACAGTTAAACATGATGATATTGTGAAAGAACTTCTTTCAAAGAAGTAGAATAGCAGTGGATGCGATAGAAGCGTGTTGTTCTCGGCTTATCACCCTTTTTCACATAAACGAGGTTCCATTTGAATCCGCTGCTTTTTGAACATTTCAAAAGGTGTGGCCAATGGCCATCGTAAGATCGTTAAGTCTAGAAGTTATTTGTAAAGTTGTGATTATTGTCATAACCTTTTTGCTGAGAAATCCAGGCTAGACAGCAAATTTAAAGATTGGTTAATCCGCTCGCAGGAAATTCTCATAATTACATTTCGAACGAAGAAACATAAACACCTGTTGCATGTACTATGTACACTTGCACGATCTTTGCATAAGAACCATCTTTTTTTATCCGCCCCTTTGTTGCTTTGGAAATAAAAACAGCTCGATCGAACGAAAAAAATTCAGTCGTTAATCGAACATCAGACTAAAAAGAACATATTTTTCCTCAAAAAAGTGTGCATTTACTGTTCAATTTGTTTTGTACATTCGAAACGAGCATTCATAGATATCCCGTCGAATAAAAATACACTGAGTTCTCGAAAATCCGTTCGAAGTACCTAGTTGAAGCTCATCAACCAAAGAATTTCGTTTGTGGTGTAAAATGAAGCGAACGATCGATTTGATTTTGTTTGTAATTTTATTGATGAAAGCAACAGCAACGCCTATTACACCAGATTGCTACGACGACAGAACAAAAACCGTGAATATAAAGTGTGACGGAAACTTGGCTGAAATGAGTAAATGCGAGGCTTTGTTGAGAGGAAAGAAAAACATTGTAGAAATTCTTCGCATTAGTTGTTGTGATACATTGAATTTGACAGATTTCATCAGTTCTTTTGAAAGCCTAAATAAAATTGTTATTTTAACAAGTACTTGGAATGATTCCATTTATCGACAGCTTCAAAAATTGACAATTGATAACATTTTTTATAGCCGATTCAATGCATCCTGTGAATCGTTAAAAAATGCGTCATCCGAAAAAGTGACATACACCGAAGTCGGTTTACAGAACAACAAAAGCGGGGAGAAAATATTTGTTCGGTGTATCATTGGAACGTCTGGATATGGATATATCCAAATATTATGCTTTCTCATTATCTTCGTGGCTTTTCTTTCGTTTGCTTGCTATGTTCTCATCATTCGCGATAGTTGGATTCAAAATAATAAACTCAAAAAACGAACACAAGTATTGTGTCGGCCAAATAAAATCGTACGCGTCAAAGTGCTTCCCACTCATTATGTTCGCCAACAAAGTTATGATTTTATTTGGGGTGAAAAAAATCAAAATCAATTTGTCAAAAAAGACCTTCCAGTTGACCAATAGTCGAGGATTAGTTACAGTATTGCTGAAATCACAGGGATGTGAAATAAACCTAATCTAACACTCAGTAATGTGGCGCTATTTCTTTGTGCGAAGTAAATTCATAAACAAGAAAATAGCTGATTCTTGTTGTTTTATATTGATTACTTGAATAAAAAAAATTCTAAAATCGTGGTATGACAATAAATGAAAAATCAGCTAGATAAAATAAGATATGATTCAAATCAACTCATAAAAATATTAGCCAACTAGATCAAAGTACGATAGTCGTTTTGGTGATGGCATAATAGCAGCTAGTTCATCAAAGTTGTATGGCATATTCAAGTTTTGCCTCTCTAAAAAAAAATTGCTAAAATTGTAATTCGATATGCATAACAATTGAAAAGTTATTAATAACTAATTGTGGACCACCTAGGCTAAGTTTTTTTATGCACCATAATAAATTCTTTTTTTTTCTTTTCCAAATTGGAATCATTTTTCAACATTTTTTCTCTAAAAATAACTCAAAAAAATGCCCTAACCTGTGCCATTGCATCACCCTTTGCTTTCTCATGAAATTCTATCAGTTTAGTTTCATCGAGAAACGGTTCAATTTCATTGATTGTCTTCTGCATTGCATCGCTGTAGTGTTGCAAACAGTCATTGTATAATATCAGATTGCTTGCTTCGGCGGTGACGTATTTTTTATATAATATAAAGGTTAACCGATTAAAATCGTTTGCTCAACAGTTATTTTGAAATGATATTCCATCCTATTCATATTTCTATCAGTGAGTTTGAGAGTGGGATCTGTTTTTTTTCACCTTTCGAATTGTGCATATCTGCAGCCTGTTTCACCGAATGTTTTCATGAAAACATTTGATGAAGAAGGCTGCTGCTCAGATAAACTAATAAATATGTGAACCCATTCAACGGAATCATGAAAAAGCTAAACAGAAACGCTCTCTACCAATTCTTCAACTAAAAAAAACATACCATAAGAACGGCTTTTGTGAATTCCCGTTAAAAATGTTAAAATAGGTTTGAAAGTATTGAACTAAATCGCGAGCCCGTATTTTCTGTCCATTAATTTTTTTTCACCACCAAATTTTCTGGTGCAAACAACTGTGGCACCAGTTCTTTCACCGATTTGAGAAATTCAGGAAGGATTTGCCTTAGATCACCGGTAAAATTTTTGCCTTGTGCCACAATGAATCCAGGATGTGGCATTAAAAATGCGCTAATCTCATCGTAGCTTGATTCGATTTGCTGTCTGAGCTGTCGCATTTCCGGGGTTTGTTCCATATGACCACGTTGCACAATTCACCCGATCAGTTTAGAAATATTCCAATTGGCACTTTTAGAAATGGGTACGAACAATTTTAGCAATGAACGCAGAACAATTTTCAGAAAAACGCAAGCCCAACCCTTTGAGAATAATTTGAAGAGTTGACACTTTAGCTTGTCTCTTGTTCACTATCATTCAACATTGGTGTTTACCTGAGCGTATAAATACTTCAAAAAGAAGTTCATCAAAAAACTTTTTCCCTTTCGAAATGCATCGAAATGGCAGACACAACAACAACATGCCGATTTTTTATGTCATCCACTTCCAAGATTCGTTTCAATTCACTCAATTCCAAATGGAACGAATGGTTAACAGGTGCAACGACTTGAATGGCACGAGTTGAACCATAGTCTCCGGCACAAGTCAAATGGAATATGAGAGCAGAAACCACTGTAAAAATCACCCACAGACTTAACGAAGTGAACTTCATCGTTGATTCTTTGAGATTGAATCACAAATTACGTTTTATTATTGCTTATTCCATCAAACATGCATGCGATGAGGTTTTGTTTCGTTTGAGAGTTGAAAATCACTATTACCCCAATGCGATGACATTAAAGGTTAACAAAATAAATGTGTATAAATGTTTCAATCAATAGGCAAATTTTTTTGTTTCTTTTTTTTTCTTACGCTTCAAGTCGGTGTGTACGATCGACAAAGCGGCTGAATGTATTCAACTATTGCTTTACTATGAGTGACCGGCATTGGTCATGTATTGGGCTGAAGACTCCGGATTTTAGTGAGAGCTGGAGACATTCCGATTTTTCGAAAGGAAAAAACTGTAAAAGGACTCAAGTGTGACAAAAGAGGGAATGATGCGAAAGTTGACATTTTTATAACGAATGATGCATAAAAATAAACAGATCATCGGTATGATGCAGCATCTGTTGCAGATGCAATAATTTTTGTATGGAAAATATTTCTTGTTTGCTATGGATTGGAACTATTCGATACATATTTTGTCCTATCTCTCTTGCTTTTGATTTCGGATCCTTTTGAAATTTGCAATTCGAACTAGTTGAAACATTCGAAAATGACAGCAGTAACATCAGACCACATTTCAAAGTTTGATGCTGTCATCGAAGTGTGTGACTGTGTGCGCTGTTCGTTCATTCGTTCATTACTATTTCA